TCAAGGTCGCCATCTTTTATCCAGCGATCACTCAAAGAGTGGAGTTCCCGAAGGAGATGCGATCACTTGTGTCTGTAGAAGACGCCAATAATTCATGGCACAGGCGCGTCCTACGCTGATGGTGAGTGTGGGCGGGGTCAGTACGATTTGTGCGCGCTTATCATTGGTGGATAGCTCATTCGAGGAGGGTGAGCTGACTGCGAATCCAGCGATTTGCTAGTGAATGTACCAGCGATCCGACACTGTTTGGAATTGGCAGCACTCCCTTCGAACCTTGACTCACGCCACTTTCCCGACCCCTTGGACACTCACTCTTCCATGCCCTCGGGAGTCTGAGAAAGTGCCGAGAGCCAAGGTTCAAAGGGTGTCGAGTCGCTGGTACATCGTTCGAAACGCTGGTACACAGCTCGATTTGCTGGTGCAAGCGCTCGTATCCGGCGATTCGCTAGCGAATCGCTCGATTTGCAAAGTATGACACCGGCCTTAAATGGCAAGCCGGAGGTCGTGTTTGGGTTCCAGGGGAGAGCGCAGAGGGCCCGCTCGTAATCATTGTAGTCCAACTCATACGGCTCAGGCAATGGTATAAGAAACTCTCCACATTCCCGTCCCAGGCAGAGGTGGGGCAGGGTCAATCGTTCCTCGAAAGACCACAACGTGGTCGTGTTATGGAACGTGGAGCCTAGTTTTCTAAGAGGGAATCGTGAAGTTTTTGAAATGAACCGAACGCGACGCGACCCTGGGTGCAGATGGTAGGAATGCCAGCTTGCGTATAGCTCTCGAGTCATTTTACTGCGCAGAACAAACCTCTATCGTACCCGAAGCATGATTTTTCGCTGGTATAACCCAGTGTCTTGATCTGAAATATGATTCGTTCTGGCGATCAAAAATGCATCTGTTGCCCCCACTGGGAATCCAACTTCAAGGATATTTCATAGTAATCTTTCGTTCTATAGTAATCTTTAATTTCAAGAAGACGCTTCGATTTGCAGGGCCCCGAAGAAAGCGAGTGCGCCGAAACGTAAGCCGAATAAATCATATACCAATCTCGGAGGCTTAAACAGGAGTTTGAACAGAACTACAATTGTACAATCCAACTTCAAACTACCTTTTCGCGATTTTTGTAAGAGAGCTGCTTGGCAAAAATGGAAACACGCTTTGGATTCCGTGCTTTGCTTCTACATTCAAGGAACCGTTTCGGTAAAGCTAGCCTTGAACAACCTCACTTTTCAAGGGGATGGACCCCCGAGTCCATGTGGACCGGTCATTACTGTACTGATGCTCAAGGTTTTGAAAGTTTTTTTGAAATAATGAAAATTTCTCGAAATATCAATAAGGAGTTATAAGAGCTCGATATCGACTAAAGGGACCTAAGTTACTAGGGGTCCACACTCAAGTTTTCCTTTCCAGGTTGAAAATGATTTTGTTCCATTTCTTCAGCAGATAATGGAAAAAATAAGATAATGACTTCTTTTGACTGCTATGCCAAGGCAAAAAGATGAGGTATTGGCGAAAATTTAGGTATACATTACATCTGAGCAACATTGGGGTGTAGCGGCATGTGGTGCGTTCATCGGGCGCAGGGTCAAGTCAAATTCCGATTCGGATCGCGTGCTGGCCAACCAGACTTTCTATCACAGGGTCGATTAATCGCTATGAGGGTCCGCAAGGATGAAAATGCTGACCGCACGCTTTATACTTGTATATATTTTTTAAGCATATATTTTTCGTGCTGTATGAATGACTAGGTCTTTCATGGGAGAGTTCCTGCATAACGCAGAGAACAGGGTGAAATTCCTGAAAAACATTCTGCGGCTAAATGGGAGAGAGGGTTTTGCTGATCGCGTTCGAAAATGAATGTTATGGGACGATTGGTTCAGCGATAAGGGAGAAAAAAAAACAGAAAACCGCCTAAAAATTCTTAAAATCACAGTGCGCCCTCATCGTATGGCGGGGTATGCGTTCCGTCCCAAGGGAACTCTCAGTGGTTGATTGGACACTGTATCCTCCATTAACGGTATCGGAGGAACGCCTGTCTAATAATTGCTCTCCTCCGAGCAAAACACATCCAAACGATCCGCGCTAAGTGATTTTCTGGGCTGTTAAGAAGTTTTAGCCGTCCTTCATCATTGGTAAATCAATGGGAGCAGTACATCCATTTTCGAGCGCAACGAATCCTTCATTTCGATCGCGGACAGTGACACTGAGGAGATGCCAAGAATTGTTATAACATATTGTTTTTTTTTGGAACTCCTTAGGAAATTCTTCGAATTCTTTGGAATACGAAATTATCAAGCGTTTCTGCTGTAAACTTTGTCCTTCAAAATGCAGAAACAGAATATTTCCAAAAGCGTCTTGGCAACCGCTTGTTGAGAGATGTTCTCATTCTCATACTGCTCTGGTGCATTTGTGTTCCTTGTGCTACACGAGAGTTCTCCAATACACATCTATTTTCAGTCCCCTGTGTGGCCTTTTGCATGCTCGCTCTGCACCACACAATGTGTCTGTTCTCACCGAAGTGAACGATTCCGCCTTCACTGTCGTCGCTAATCCTTTGCACTACATGCACTATTAACGCCTAATGTTGTCGCTTTATACCACAATTTCAAGTTAGTTCCAATTCTTTTTGATTACCTGGAGAAAAATGTGACTTCACATCTTTCAGGTTTCCATCATTCACGGTACTGATGGTCGAACCAGCATTCCGATTCCGGAATGTTCTCTGTGAATACAGCATGTCTCCGCCATCTGCGATTGATCGTCTCCTATACCCAAATCTGATGCTACAAATTCCTACCTTCCATATTTTCGGAGTGACTCCAGAAGGTTGCTTTTGTATTTTGAGTTCGGCACCTTGAAACAGCGCGTATTTGGCACTTCTTTGATCGCGTGGGACCGGTGCCTTGCGTGCTTGGACTGTGGATACTATAGTAGAAATTCGACTAAAGAACATGTTAATGGTAGAAAAAAACAAAATTTTTTACGCCGCTATAGCAAGGTAGAGGGGCATCCTTTAGGACTAAGTCTAGGGAAGTGGAAGAATTGGGGGAAAATGAATGCTACCCACGTTTCCTGGAGTCTCTCCTACCGCCTAAGGCTTGTCCTCGTTTATCAAATGTTTTAGGCTATTTAAAATGGTTGCAAATTCCCCCTGTATCGTGCAGGAGAGCCTGTTTTGCCTTTCGTAGCAGAAGACCTTAGGAGCAGTTTTGTGTTGGTTGTCTCAATGAACACGCTCGCGTATTCGTACAGATCTGTTTCTACTTCTGCTGCCATTTTTACCTGCCTCTTGACAAAAAATGGAAACCTGAAAGGAAACGAAGTGAAAATTCTGCAAGGCTTGGAAAATATTTGCAAGACTAAATACATCTATTTGATGGACCGAGTCGTTTGAAGTTTCATCAGGTACAAACCATAGAACAGAAAGAAAACCCGAAAAAAGTTTGACAAGCGCCAAAAAATGAATCACAGTGGTGTGTGATTTACTAATGAACCACACTGATGATTCATTTGCGAATCACGCTGTTGTCAAGGTAGCAGATTACTTAGGTTAATTGTTCACGGGTCATTGAGCGAAAGACTCTAAGTTTTCCATGTGACAGTTATGGATTAAAATGAGAACACCTTGTTATAGCCTTTGAAGTTATAATTCAGGTAAGAAGATATGTGTTCACATCCATGGTGTGCTACCATACCTTCTTCTGCGAGTGGGCGCCGATTTTACTCCTGCATTAGGCATGCTTATGCAGGAGAAAATCAACCGTCTTCATTCAACGTGAGATGGCGTTGAAAGAGGAGCAGCCAGACAGAAAGAAGAACTTCAGCAACTTTGTGTACAAGATCGAATCAGTTATGAGAAAGTGAGTTTGATTCTAATTCTGTGTTCTTCTGTGAATTACCACAGAAAGTGTTCTAAAAACGTAGTGCCTGAGAGGAATATCCGGAGCGAATTTTCTTTAGCGATATCGTTTCGAAATCGACCAGTTCAGCAACAATGTTACATATGTACTAGAGCGGAAAGGAATACCACTCGGAAAACATATGGGGCGTAAGTGATGTAGTGGTAAGTGGCGCTGGATAGCACGCTCGATTAGGGAAGCAACCAGGTCCACTTTGAAGATACTGCTTTTCCTGTAATGCAGCATTTGTGTGCGGAACAGTCAAATATGGATGCCTCTGCAGTAGACTTTCTTGTTCTCAGATGCGCCATGCACTCGCATGTAGTTACCATCAGTTGGAAAAGCCTTCGGAAGTTGTACCCACGCACTTTGTCGCGACGGCAGACGTTTCGATTCTAATCGTTTGATGCTGTGGAAAAACCTCCTCTTCCCATCTATGTGCACTCGTGAAGATCTCTACGTATCGCGACTCGACCTCTGCGAAAACGACCCCCTCCCTTTTCCGTCGGCCAAAAACGACTACCCTTCGTTGGGCTTTGTCCAACGGGCGGTTGACTCTGGTTGATACTTCTCTCAGAATGGATCTGACTTTAGATCATTATATAGATCATCTTCATGCAAACGTTCACAGACTTTCATTGAACATGCCCCCATTTCTGTGATTGACCCGAACACAACGCTCTGTGGTCCGCATAGTTTCAAGGTACTCTTTTCCCTCCCAATTTTACAAAGTGTCTTCTCTATGGTGAGCTTAATGGAATGATGTGTTGAGTTCAAAAAACGGACGAGCCATTAGTTTGGGAATATATAATCTGGAGGGAGGTACGAGGCATGAGCTCTTTAGGTCATCTGTGCTGAAATGCTGCCATGATGGGCAGTCCATAATTCCTTCCCCGCGCGACTAATTCCGTTGTTTAAAAACGCCCATCGGATACTAAGATATCAGCATCGGGCTCGGTTCTGCTCTGTAGAGCTTCGTAGCTGTGAGATAGTGACACTTTCGTTGAAGTTTGTGTCAGCCATGGACTGCGTGCTGAACAATAAGCTACGACATTGGGCACAAAAAGGTGAGGGACGGTATGACACCTTGGAAAAGCTAATAAGCGCCAAAAGAATTAGCGCGTCGAACGCGGTGTTTTGTCAGGAGTGAACTGGTGAATATGCACACAGTGTTTTTCGCCCTAGATCTGACCGAAAATAATTTGTCATCGTATTTTGAAGTGGCTTAAATGGCTTCGTCAAGGCTTTGAAGCCACAGCTAATCTGAAAAAATGATCTCGCTTTCTGCAGGTCCATCTATGGATACCACGAAGAAGAAGAACCCTTTGCGAAGATATACTTCTACAATCCGCTACATCGTGCAAAGTGAGGCTCTGTTCCTCCATTCTTTTATGTAATAAATAAGAAATCGAAGACAGAAGCAAGCGCAAGAAAAACTTAGAAATATTTGCTCAAGTTTTTTATTTTAATTT